AAAAAATATCAATAGGGATAAGTTCAAATAAGGGTAGGTTTTACCTTACTAATCCTAATGTAGTACCTAATGTTTACTATCAAACAAGCATGAAGAAAATAAGAGTCAGAGAGAACTAAGTATTTTCTGATTACACAGAGTTTGTAATACACTACATGATGATATTACAAATAAGAATACTTAAATAATGTAAAAATATGTAAATCAAAAAAAACATTGAGTTATGAGCCTCAAACCTTCTATTACAAACGCATGAATTATAAAAAAATTTGATTGCCCATCAAAAGTAAATTGAAGTTTTTTTTTTCTTATCTTCTTATTCAAACTTATCAAACAACACTTGATAATTCATACTTTCTTTATGGATTTATTGGATCTTGTTAAACCTATTGATACGGTCAGTCAAATGATTCTGCTTTGTCTGTCGCATCGGTAGGTGCCTTGGAATAAACTCCTCAAGCATTCTACCGTCCCAACTTTGTTGCCTTCCATATGCCTTTTTTTGTTTTTGTTACATCCACTTCTTTGTTTCCTAGGTGATATATCTCCTTCCCTAGCCACTCTATCAAATCATATGTCCAGCATATATATCTTTTCATCTTCATAATTAGAGAGAATCCTCACCCAAATCAAGCATATCGTCTTCCTCAACTTCATCAAGAGAATCCTCGCCCAAATCAATTGTATTTGAGACTAAAGCCCTTAACTCATTCTTCTTGCAATAACACATTTAGGCACAAATACATGAGTTTCTGGACTTAATTTGCTATTCAAAGTAGGTGGTAAGACTTGTTTTTCATGGATCAAATTGTTATCATTCTTCATTAATTTTACTTGCTTTCAGATAGTTTTCGATAAAACATCAAAGTTACTCGAACATAATAGGTCTCTTGAGGCATTACTAATAGCTTGTCTCTTCTCACTGTCATGAAAATTTTCAGTCGCATCCTTTTCACTACATAGAGAATTATTTTGACTAATTAGGGAAAGGATCTGATTACTAGTTAAATTTTTGTGTGCAACCAATATCCAGTTTTTAGTTGCATTTTTGGTTTCAACTTGCAAAATTTGCTTCCTAGAATTTTCAGCATCTTCTGCATCAAATGTATCCATTAGTTTGTGTCCTAAATCCATTATTTTTTAGCTTGAACAAACTCACGGCGCATCAAACCCCAACTTTTGGCGTTCCCCCCTTGTTTTTGTTAGTTGTTTGAACACCAATATTACTTGTTACTATTAGGACCGAAAATAAGCAGGAGTAATGCGGAAGCTAGCAAAGCAAACCTTGAAAGACCACGAGTAAGAAGACAACGAGAAATATATCAAAAGACACAAAGATTTAACGTGGTACGGTCAATCGGCCTACGTCCACAAAGGAGATGAGCAATCCACTATAAATATGAGAGTATAAAATACAGAGAGAAACAATCTCAACCAATTCACTCGGAATACATAGGAGGTTCACAATAAGTGATAATGTATCAAGCTTGTGACCATAAATTCTCTCCCCAATCAAAACTCTCAAAGCCTTTAAGACTACATTGTGAATGTTGATTAAGTTACAAAGAAAATTCCTCTATTTATAGAGTCCTAAACCTTTTCCTACCAGAAAAAGGATTAGTCAATCCAAAACCTTTTCCTAAAAGGAAAACCTATTTATGGTAAGAAATTTAGGGCAAATAAATCCCAACAAATCTCCCCCTTGACCTGAATTTCTGACAAAAGAAATTTGTCCACCTTCTTCACTTAATCTTCAACAACTTGCTTCTCCTCTCCATAATCTCCTTTGCAAAATTTATGTCTCAACACAGAGAACATCTCTGAAACAATTTCTCCAATAAAATCTTCATTACTGTCAAAACGGTTGCGGCTAGAACTACACCTGTCAAGATGAACGTATACCTCCTTCTAACCTAGTTCAATCATCGATTATTGAACAACTAAATCTGACTCCATCATTGAATCTGGCTCTAATTCCACTTGTTAGGACCGAAAATAAGCAGGAGTAATACGGAAGCTAGCAAAGCAAATCTCGAAAGACCACGAGTAAGAAGACAACGAGAAATATACCAAAAGACACAAAGATTTAACGTGGTTCGGTCAATCGACCTACGTCCACAAAGGAGATGAGAAATCCACTATAAATATGAGAGTACAAAATACAGAGAGAAACAACCTCAACCAATTCACTCGGAATACATGGGAGGTTTACACAAGTGATAATGTATCAAGCTTGTGACCAATAAATTCTATCCCTAATCAAAGCTCTCAAAGTCTTTAAGACTACATTGTGAATGTTGATTAAGTTAGAAGGAACATTCCTCTATTTATAGAATCCTAAACCTTTTCCTACCAGAAAAAGGATTAGTCAATCCAAAAAAAAATTCTAAAAGGAAAACCTATTTATGGTAAGAAATTTAGGGCAAATAAAACCCAACAGTTACAACATTCATTAAGTGTGCACAATTTTGATCAGAAATGACAACAACCAATTGTCAATCTAAAGAAGTAACTTTACTTTGATAGACATCTGCAATCTTTATTTTTTGATTTAGTATTTCTCTTAATACTTTTCACAATTGAAGGAACTTTTTGGAGTAACTTCAATGGTATCAATAATTTGTTTGTTATTTTGATTTTTTTCGAGATCAAACGACAAATATCTTCATCATGACCTTGGTGCTTAGAATAATTGCAATACGAAGATAGCTTATCATATACAATGTCCTTAAAAAGCTCGATTAACTTACCAGATTTTCCATTCACAAACTGCAATCTTATACAATTTGAAAGCTTTTTCATTATATCAAGTATAACCTTGAGCCTAGTTGTGCTAGGTATTGACTTGATTTGAATAGCTTTATCTATAGCTATTAGTTTCACAACTTTTGATGCTATAGAGAACATATACTTCTTTGCAAACAAATGGGAAGATAAGTTCGGTAAAGATATCCAAACCACAGCTAACATCGTTTCCTCCTTAGGATTATATCCAATGGACCATGGAAAAATCCTACATTGGTGTTCTTCTTCATTGTAGAGAAGATAATTAACTGAGCGAGATAAATTTAGTACGTAATTTTTCATATTGATCAAATCTCAACGAAAATTTTCTTGGAGCAAGTAAGTCAATTAAACAATTGTCCTTAGTACCAAGATGTTTCGATAAAATTGACCTTAATACCTTCAAATCTGGCGCACCATGAGATAATTTAAACATCACTGCTTGATGCAATCCCTCTTCAATCATAAAGTCTTGTCTTTCCTCCATTGAAAATGTCTTTCCTCCATTGAAAATGTGATAGTAGATTCTACATGAATTATTCGATTGATTTTGAAAAATTATTTTTTAGTTTAGAACTGTTTGTTTATGATTTATAGTATTGGGATTAAAAAGGATGGTGGTGGTTTGGGGTTGTGGGGAAGGCTGGACAGCCTCGAAAGGAGGACATCCAATAGTCATAGCAACCATAGAGATGCGCAACTGCTGACTAGAAAGGAAAACCTAGGTCAACCGTTTTTCTCTAAATTTTCATTTACTTTATAGATCATGAAACAACAAAATAGTGAGTATAAGATTAAGGTCTCATTTGTGTTTGTACTTAATGGAAGTCTGAATCTTAACTATTCAAATTCAGCCCATTAAGTACGTTTGATTTTTAGGTCTGAATCTGAATTATTCATATTCAACTCATTAAGTTCATTTGTTTTATTTTTTAAAAAACCTCTTAATGGGTCTGAAGAGGTCTGAAACAATCAGATTTGTATGAGACTTTTAACAACATTCAGACTCATTTGATAAGTTATCAAATAATAAAAATCATAGTTCTTCTGTATTGGAGTGACTTTTTATCTCATAACTAAAAACTCTCTTTCTCACTTTTCTCAATCAATCACCAACTTTCCCAACCGGTAATTTTTCATAAATCCTTCAAGTATTTTTTTAATATTAATAATTTTGTTGTGTTGATGTGTGACAAGAACATGGGTTGCATTAATATTTTTGGTGTATTGTTGTTTATCAAGGTTTTTGAATGAAAAAATAGTACTCCAAATCATGATTATTAAAACTCTTTTTAATCAAAAGTGATACATTTTTTTATATGAAAATTTATAATATTTTATTAGTATAATGTCCAATTTTACTTCTACATTCAAATATTAAAAACAAACAACATTAATTATTCTGTGTTCACATTTAGAAATCACGTCTTAATATTCATATATGTATTAGATCAAAACACCCAGATCTTAATGCAAATCTTAATATTCAGATGTTTATTCAGATTTAGACCTCTTAATTTTAATGAAAACAAATGAGGCCTAAGAGAACAAAATACTTACATGCATAGTAGAATCCGCTAAACAATTGTATAATATAACTATCCAGGCTTTTAACTGCTCATTATCCGATTACACATTAAAAAATCAACAACAACAAAGAAAACAATAATCTAATGATAAGTTCAGAAGAAAACTTATAATTCAAATTTCAACTTTAATTTTCACCTACAAAGCATAAAACATCATTAATGATAAACTCATGCAATATTATACAATTGTAAGTGAAAATAAGGAGTATCAAACTAAAAATTACTCAAAAGAATGTTGTAAATTATGGCTGAAAAATGTAAATTCACCCAACATCAACAACACATCATGAATATGATCAAAAATATTTTTCATGTGGTCTCACACACTTCAATAACTATTGATAGATGTCGATACATTGTCAAATATAGTACACAAATCTTATGCTCGAATAATCCAGTACAATTATTTGGTACATTTAAAGCAATAAATTAAATCTTTGAGGAATATTTAAAAGATAAACAAAATCCCCCTTTTCTTATCTATCAGGTTGACAAATCAAGTCATGCCTCTATAATCTCAAAATCAAGAATAATGTTATAGATACCCTTACTTTATTTTACTGTACAAGACTAATACTGCTATATAACACCATGCAAATTGAGGTCTTAATTTAACTAAACCCTCAAACTACAATACTATTATTTTCACAAGCTCTAAATAAACTGTAGTTATTGTATTATTTTACTATATCAAAAGATGGATATAGTGCATAGATTAGGAGAAGAAAGCCCAGTGGTGATATTTAGCAAGAGTAATTGTTGCATGTCTCACAGTATCGAAACCCTAATTCGTAATTTTGGGGCGAATCCAATGGTGTATAAGCTTGATGAAATTGAGAAAGGCAAGAAGATGGAGAAAGCTTTGATTGAAATGGGTTGCAATCCTAGTACCCCAGCTATATTTATTGGGAAGGAATTTGTTGGTGGTTCTGATGAAGTGATGAGTCTCAATGTTAAAGGCAAGTTGAAGGAATTGCTTATTAAGGCTAATGCTATTTGGGTATAGATTAGAACTATATATATGACACCTCAACTATATATATATGTTGCTCAAACTCTTTATGAAAAATGTTGTAGTTGCATTAATGTTCGTATCTTTTAAAAAAATACACTATTTTTAAAGGATTCGATCTAATACGAAGTACTTCTAACATTATTGAAGAGTAGGTGCAATATAGGATTATGTATGTGTGTATGCATGTATGAGTGCTTACATGCAGCTAGAAATGTACTGTTGTTTTTTCAGTACTATTTGTTGTCTCTCTTCTTTCTTTTTTTTTCAACTTTTAGTGTACTAAATAATGGGGGAGGTGGGTGGAGGTGGGGGTGGGGGCTCCTTAAAAATTATGTGATATATATTGATCAACTAATAAATAATGTTTACATTTACCATGCAAAAATTCCAAAAGGATGGTCTTTTATTCCTTGGAAAGATGTGATAAAGACCTAAATAATGTCTATTTTTATCATGCATACATGATAAACTGAAATATTTCAGATCTTATATTATTCTTAGATAATTTTTATAATATGTAACTTGATATTATTGTTATTTAGTTCTTTAAAAAAATAATAATAATAAGAGGAGGATCTCCATACTTACTACAGATCTCTTGTGGAATACACAGAATCAATCACTCATTATGTTTAGAAAAAACTCATTATATGAAACGTTAGATTTGTCCAACTTATCTACTTACTATATTTAATTTGCTTATAGTTATCGACATTTAACTTTACGTGCAATTGATGAAGTTATTATATTCTTAAAAAGAATACAAAAGGCTATAAATATCATAAGTATTATATTATGTATCCCAATTATGTGATACACTTTCTTTTTTAGTCAAATCCAAATATTGTTTTTTTGGAATTTATACCACTAAACGGTGAGAAAACCTCAACAGAGATAAGTACAAGCAAGAGAGGGCAAGATCTTACCTTACCAATTCTAATGAGGTACAAAACCTCTACTTAATTAACCCGCATGAAGAAAATAAGAGCTAGAAAGAACTAAGTACCATATGATCATCATCGCGTTTATAATCCACTATGACGGTACAAATGAGGATGTTTAAGTAGTACAAATATATAAAAAGCCGTGATGAGATTTGAGTAATTAAACTCAAACTTCGTTTTACAAAAGTATAAACTAAAAAAGATAGATTGCTCTTCTAAAGTAACTTAGACTGTTTTCCTCTTCAAATTTGTCTAACAATACTTGATAGTTCAACAATTCTTCTTAGATTTATTGGATCTTGTTAAAGTTATTGACAATATCATATGATTTTGCTTTGCTTGAAGTAGCTCAATAGGTGTCTTGGAACAAACTCCTCAGTCTTATCCCAACAATTTTTTTCTTCCATGCTTCAATTTGTTGTTGCGTTGTTGACTAGGAGAAAATTATCTCCATCCCTAGTTGAATTTGCAAAAAATTAATTCTAAACATATTCTCTTCTTGGTGCTTCGGTGCTCAATTTTCTTTCACCCTATTGGCCCATCGACTCTCACTTGTAACACCTTTTTGCCTACTAGAAGTGATGATCAAATTATTTGCCCAAGTAACTTGGGAGATTGAAACAATTGGTCTAGATCATGAGAGTTAAACATATTCACATTACTTGCATTATCTTTCAAAAAAATTTTATATTTTTGGATCATTAGTCGACAATCAGCATCTTCATGACCTTGGTGCTTACAATAGGTACAATACAAAGGAAGATCATCAAACAGAACATGTTGGTGGTGTTCAATGAGCTTATCACATTGTTCATCCAAAAAAAGCAATATCCTTTCTTCTTTTGAATGTTTGTCCATAAGGTCAAGAATGACCTTAAATCTAGTTGTGGTAGGTCTCGTCCTATCTTGAGTGGCTTTATCTATAGTTACTGGCTTACTAATAGCTGATGCAATAGATAACAAAGGTCTTCGACCAAAAAGATTTGGCGGCAGATTGCCAAAGCTTTTGAAGTTTCTTTCTTAGGATTAAAATTTTGTGTCCATGATCAGATGTTATTCCCCATTAAATTGAAGATAACCAAAGTGTTTTGGAAGAACTGAGCAAAAATCTTCATAAAGATCACAATGAATTTAAAGATGTCATGCTACAAGCGAGCCAATTATTAAGTGCCCGATATTTTAGTGGTTTTAAGAAGCTTTGAAGTTTGCGTAAAATTAAAAAGTGCTTATAAACACTTAATTTAAAGCCAAAATAACTAATATAAGCCAAAAGTCATAAGTTAGAAATCCTGACTTATGACTTATAAATCATAAGTCAAAAGTCAATTCAAACAGACACTAAACGACGTCCTTTGATGACCAACTGTTTTGGAATTAATTTTCTCAGTTCCTGTAAGCTTGGTGCACCATAGGAAAGCTTCATGATCACGACTTGATGAAGTCCCTCTTCAATGACATACTCATCTAAATTACTTAAACGTAAATCCTTTTGTGTATTAATTAAATAGGTTTCAAGATTGTTTTGGTCAGTGCCGTAGGATTATAATTCATCAGAGACGCATAGTTTTGTTAAGGTTTGACTCTCCCACAATTTGAGACCGAGGAGTGGCAGCGGCAAACTTTTAAATGAAATGCCCATACATACACTTCAATAGTTTTAAAGTTTTGAGATGTACAAGAATTATTAAGACATGTTTCACATAATTTCTTTTGAGTAAGCTACTCTAAAGTTACTTTTATTTTTATTATATTATTGAAAACGTAATGAGCTTACACCATTCTCAGAAAGACATATGTACACTGTCAAATTGGCATGTAAAACAAAAATGTAAATATTGTTATGCTATCTAGTAGAACTGGACATAATCTTTTCATATGACTAATATATTCCAGGCCATTATCAGGTCAAGGTTAAAGATACTTAAAATCTAAATGAGTAGCCTTCATATATTTCTCCAAGAAAGACGGAACAAGAAGGAATTTTTCATGTTATTTCGACCAAATATTAGATACAGAAACATGCATTATTTATTTTTAGGTCAGTTGACATTCAAACTATGAAGTGTTTCTGCATAAATATGGAAAGGCTCTAGCATTTGTAGTTTATACCGGCTAATGTAGAATAATAGAATCCAAAGCACGCGTTTTAGCTTTCCTTGTCTGCTTCCCCAGTAAGCGTTAAGTTCAGAAAATTGAAACCCGCAGGCGTTCCTTTGCAGCAATTAGGTGAACTGTGGCAGGAAAACCTTGTTTCGATCGTTTATGCTCTCAGCAATTTGTGTCCCAAGCCTTACAACGTCCTGCAGGTACGAAAATATCATCTTGAGAAACTCAAATATTGCAGGTAGCAGCATTGCCAACAAAGGCGAATCCAGAATTTGAAGTTTATGAGTTCCTATAACGATTTCAAGTTAATACTCCTTCCGTTCACTTTTACTTGACAACTATATATATTAAAAATAAATATAAAAACTTTTACTCCATTTTAGTATATCAAGAAGAGAAAAACTTTTCTGGTTTTACCTATTAACTACTCATTCAAAATCATTTCTCAAGTCGATTAAAGATTATACATCAATTATGGAAATTATGGTAAAATATGCATTTCATTTATTATTTCTTAAGAATCCTTTATGGACTAGTAAAAGTGAATGGAGGGAGTATAATGATAATAACTAATTTCACAGTCAAATATTTATAAATATTTTATGAATTTCTTTATATAAATACAGGGTTTGAATAAAAACTATTGGGTTCATGTGAATCGTACCTTACGCCCTAGGTCCTCCCCTCCACTGATTCCCAGGTGCCATAACATGTTAATCATCATTCATCATCACAACCGCCCATAAGTTGCAAGTATATCTCTTAGCTTTTTTGCTTCTGCATCCAGGCTGTCAAAGCTAGTTGAACTAGGTATCCTCCAACTCCAGTTTCCAAACTGCCATTAGGGGAAAGATAAGAAAACAAAAACAATGTCAGATAGGATTCAAGAGAAACTGAAAGAAAGTAAAGGACTCACTTTGTTTGATGTGTTGGATGAAATAATCATATTGGTATAAAGTTTGGTATTGCTTTATCCACTTTTTGGTTTGTAGTTTGACTAATGCATGGGTAGTTCTCATATAATTTAACACACCCATTGGATTATTATTTTTGAACCCGACGTAACATGGAATAAATATGCATGGATGAAACACCAAAAGATAAAAATACCTTTTATATTTCCTCAAATCCATCAACACCGTTCCAACTTTATTAAGTTTTAAGAGATCAACCTATATCTTAACAATTTACCCTATATATTCATTTCTAGTACAAAGAATGAAACGCCCGACAATAATTAAGCTATGTATTACAATCTTGCATAACTTGTTTCTATGCCAAACGACTCCCAACATCATTTAGTTCCACTACATAGTAACACCAGTATATTGAAGTGATTCCTATATACTATCATAATTCAGATGATATTGGGAAGAAAGGAGATTCAACATTGAAGGAAATAGTATTTTAGTCCAAAGCTGAAATTTCAAAAGCGTCGATAGAATGAGAAGCTACCAGATGCACAAATTTGCACATAATCAGTTAAGAATCTCTACTTATCTCGGCTAACCAAACAACAATAACAGGAAGATAACTTCAGACATGCATCCAACAGAGTTAACAGTTAACAGAACGTTTAGAGTGCTAATCTAGCTTCAATACAAACCAAACTCTACCAACGCCCAGCCTATAAGCAAAAACGATCAAGCATTGGTCACTCACTATTCACTCTGTAGAAGCAGATTTACCTGAGTTGCTGGAATGTTCATTCTGGAATCACTCCCAAGCCCAAGAACATCCTGCATCGGTATAATTGCAATACGGGCTACAGAAGAAACTGCACCTTCGATCAAGCCCCATGATATATCCTCTTCCTCAATATTTGATAAATACTTTAGTACCTAATACAACAGATTCATGTTCATTGTCATATCACGTTATATTTATAGCAACAAAAAAAATGGTTTAGTCAATACATCATACTAACATTGGATTTCTCTTCCTGTGGCAAATTATCCCACCAACCTCGGATCTAAAACATGCAAACAAAAGAAAATGCTTACAAATGTTGGACAGGAAGTAGTTATAATAAGGAGAAAGGGACATAATAAATCAAGATCAAGCACTGAAGATTACTGTATCATTGTCATGCGTTCCAGTATACACTACTTGGTTCTGCTCATGATTGTGAGGCAAATGAGGGTTTTCAGCATCACTGCCAAATGCTGAACGACACAGGGAATAACAAATTTATACCAAGAATGACAGATAAATTCAACGCTACTTTCTGCACACATT